ACATTAGATGGTTGTCTGTTGTGCACATACAATGTTACCAGAGAGAGATAATTCCTATGAATTACCTTTTTAATACCTTTCTATATTCCTGCATGCATGGTTTGCCAGAGTGTGTATGTTTATGTATACAGATAAGAGAGAAGGATGGATTATCTAGGAGAGAAACAAATGTGATTAGTCAGAAACCTATTTCCCAGCTGATCGAGTCTTCTACTACTTGAATTAGCGGAAAGCCTACAGATATGTGGAAGCTTCCCAATCTGGCTGCAACCCAGCAAACAAATTAGGGTGTTGATCATCTTATTCTGTATGTCTATAGGCACTGTAAATTAAGCTTGTCGGAAGTTCGTGCTTTTTTAAATACAAAAGCTGTGCCTGTTATTTGCTTTGCCAGTAAAGCCACTGCTGTGTGCTCCTCTGACCTTTCTTTGTTTTTAGTCATTTTGTTAGCAAGGGCTTGACTTTTTTTGATTTTGACGCCAATCCCAGCCCCCCTAGAGCTAAGCCCTACCCACCATGACTCCCTATCCAATGACTGTACTGCTCATTGGAGAAAGGGAAAATTGAACTTTGTCTTTAGGTTTAAGCTCTTTGTTAACAAAATCAAACCAGGATCAAAATGGGTGCAGAAGAGAGGTTTAAATTAGGCCTCCTCTCCATTTAAATGTTTGATCAAGCAATTGCTGAAGCTCTTGATCATGTCAGCACGCTTTATGGTTTGAGCTGAAAGTAAAAACAGTCACAATTTGGCTATATGCATTAACAAGAATGTGTGAGCAATAAAGCAGTCAATCTGTGTAAGTGATCCAGACCTGGGCTGCTACAGGCAGGCTAAAATATAAATCTCGCAGAAATTGCCAGAGGTAAGGTGGTTTTTCCCATATGAAATGTTCAAGGTACATGTGGAGAATATAGATCCAACAGTATGCATAAGTATGGAAACCAAGTGCAAATTTATTCCTTCATGGTAGTAAAACATCATACATGTTAAATCATCTGTGACGTCATACATAAAAGTACAAGCTATTAATAGAGCTACGCATTGCAAATGTTAATGGGAGCTTAGAAGTACACTTCTTCATGTGCAAGGTTATTTATGATGCCAAATAAACGTGAACATAATCCTTTGAAGGGTATCCAAAGCTGAAAACTTTGCTGAAACTACTAGATATTTAAAGTCATTAAAATCGTATTGCAGTTTGCAGATCACATCTGCATATCAGCTGCAGATTTTTCTGTCTATTATTCAGACACATGAAAGCAAACTATGTCTAAATACAAGAGGCATGAGTATTCTTACTTGAATCTAGGTACATTTTGTGTATTTTCTTCCAGATCTGTACAGTAATCCAGAATTACATTTTGCCTCTGTGCAGGAGTTTCCTGTAATAAAGACAGGTCACTGCTGCTCTCTCTCCCTTTGTGTAAGGCGACTGGTCTTGTACACACCCCCTCCCCTAGTTCTCTGCAGGCAGCCTACAGTGGGTGGGACTGCTGGGTCCCTCCCACAGCTTTGTTTAGGTTATGTGCAGCACAGTGATGATGTAATTACTGAGTTACCATGCCTTGTTCTGCACCATGTCTCTGTGCGGAGATTGCTATCTTCATATAGAATCAGGGATTTTGTTCCGCAGCTGCCCCCAGTGACTGAATGAATAACTAAGAAGCAGAAGTAAGAGGTAGAGGAAGCACAGATCCACAGAAAGAATGAGAGAAGCATGGAGACCCTTGCACTGCAGTTCCTCAGGTACAGCTTTGTCTACAGGAAGGAGAATATAGAAAACCTCTTCAAACACCACAATCTTTACAAATCGTCACTTTAAAATGGTTTGACTTCACTATACAGAGTTCCAGACCTGAAAAAGCATGCATCAATTGAAAATCACAGAAAAGTAAAAAAAAAAATCCTTATCTCTACACCTGAACAACTATATGGATACACAATTCGGAATCTTGTCCGACATTCATTTGCAGTATGTGTTTTCTGGGTCTGTAACTAAGAAGTATTGAAAATACAATGCCAGATAGCTAGAATGTTTAGAAGGTGGTCAGCAATGGCAGCTTGGATATTTCAGAACAGGGTTCCTTTAAAGGGTCATACAGAAAAGGATTATGGCACATTATGCCAAAGTAATACTTTCAGATGTACCAATAGCCCTACAATTACTGTACGTTCATTAGTCTATTGCACAAGAACTGCTAAACTTCATAATTGCCATTATTGTTTCAATGCAATGCTAACACAAAGAGAGTCAATTTACATTAGATGATATTCATGCTGATTATGTCCTTTCAAAGCCATTGAGTCTAGGAATTCTTAGAGAGATTGTCAATTTGTTACTGAATATCATCTGCCTTTTTCCATGCCATTTTATTGCTGTACAGTTCTTTAGGTTTGCTGCTGTTGGGTGCTACGTTCTAGGTTTATTTATACAGTATTACGATGCCCCAATAGAGAGTATTCACCCCCTGTGGAAGTCATCATGTTTTATAGTCATAGACCATTTAATCACAGTAAATATTTGTACAGATGTTTGTTAAATCTATATTTTCAGAAATGCACAGAAATGTATTTTAGTGCACGCAAACACAATACTAATATTCATATCTTCCTTTAAATATAAATGATGAGACTGTCACGTAAATAGATTGCAAACATCTGTGAGCTCAGGAACCACAAGGAAGAAGGGGTGCTGGAATGCCACCAACATGGCTATATAAGAGATCGGGTGGAATCTTTGCCAGCTGCAATAGAGGCCCGCGGGATGGAACTTTGAAACCCCTGCTCTAATGTGTGCCTAGTTGGTCAGGGGTTCATCCTACATCAAGATAATGACCCAAAACATACCTCCTGGCTGTTTCCAAACTACCTTAAAAGAAAAGAACAAGACGGCAGGCTTCAAATGATGGAATGGCCAGCACAGTCTCCAGATTTAAACCCTATCAAGCTGGTTTGGGATGAACTGGACATAAGGGGGAAAGCAAAGCAACCTACAAGTGCAGCACATTTGTGGGAACTTCTACAACAGCGTTGGGAAGAACTTTCTGAACAATATTTGATTTCTGTTGTAGAAGGAATGCCACAAATGGTTATATCTGCAAACGGTGGCTACATTGATGAGTTAAAAATTTATGTTAAATTACGCAATTTCATGATTTCTTTTTGATGTCCAATTGTTTATTTGTTCCATGCTTTATTTTCAGGGTACATTGAGACCTTAAACTGCGTAAATTTCAACAAAACTATAAGAATTGGGGTGTGTTCTGTTCTAAAGCTTTTGACCGGTAGTGTATGTATGTATGTATGTATGTATGCATGCATGCATGCATCTATCTATCTTTGGATCTACATATTATTATAACATGCAGTTTTTACTGACAATCTCTGCTTATGCATTTATTCCATCATATGTGGAGTCTGAATTGCCCAGATTTGTAACTGGTTTATGTGAATGTTTATGCTGATGTAAATCACTACTTTTTTATTACTATTACTATTTATTTCCATACTAAAATTACTACTTTCTTTTGGACAGGTGAACCTGTACAATGCAGTGTATTGTATGTTATATAGAAGTTCTGACTCCACGTCCAGACCGTCTCCGTCGGCCAACTATGTCCGCTGCTGGGCCCCCCCGACCTTCATTCATCTCCCGGCCTAGTCCTCCCCTGTCAGTGGGCGGCAGGAACCCCCAGCTTCTAGCCCTGGGGCGGCTGCACTGCCAGTAGTTCTGCCTCCGGAGCTGTCCATGGCTGTGCCTGCACCGGGAAAGGAGGAGGAGGAGATAAAGAACCGGACAGGCACTGCCATGGACAGGTATCTGCAGGTCCCCAGCAGGCTACCGAGGTCCCTACAAGCGCAGGAACTCGGACTGCCGCTTCAAAATTGAAAGAGCCGGTATCGGCCTTAAGAAAATCGGGGCATTTTCATAAGTACGCGTGAAAATGCCTGGTATCGGCACGGATACTAGGATCGGTATCGGGACATCCCTAGTTGCTATTGGTAGTGCATTATTTCAGCTCTTTGCACTGCTTTACCATATGAACCCAAATGTAGTAATATTGCAGTCTTTAAAGTGAACACGTCACATTTTAGCAGAGATTATGTTACAATGGAGGAATGAGCTGACACTGAAGTTGGAATTTTGCAACTCCAACTAACATTCTCATAATCATAGTAGTGGTGAGAGTCTAGGTTAGAAAAGACCTGGCTGAGACTGGCATTTTTGTCTCACTGACAAGCTGGTAGAAAATGACCCAACTGAACAGAAAAAAGTCAGCCCTCCAGTTGTAGTGTAACTACAAATCCCATTAGGCACTGCAAGAATCTGAGCCATAGGAAATATTTCTAGAGGCAGATAAATGATGGGATTTGTTGTTTCACCACAGCTGGCAGGTCAAAGCGTGGCTACCCCTGCATTAGAGTAATGGTGTAATGGTGTACTATGTGTCCCCAGTTATTTACAAACACTGGAGTGATCATACGATCGCTCCAGTGTTTGTCCTTCTCACACGGAGGACCGGGAAATATCAATGATATTTACCCATCCCCCGCTCTGCCTCGCACAGAGCCGCTGTCATCCTGAAACTGACAGGATGACAGCGGCTCCGATCTCCTACCCGCTCGGCCATCCTGACAGCTGCGAGCGCGGCATCTCTCCCCCTCGGGGCAGCTTCTCTCCTCGCGGCTTCTCTCCCGCTCAGCCATCCTGACAGCAGGCAGCGCTCCCTCCTGCGACCCCGGACAGACGGACAAGGGATCGCTGTCATCATGTCGGTGAGGAGGAGAGAAGTCGCCCCGAGGAGTGCCTGACTCAATGGCTTCATTTCCACTCACCCCCACGCAATTTTCACTCGCAATTTGCGAGGGGGAGAGTGGAAATTTTGAGCCCTGGTGTAATAGTTCCCACCAGATTGCTTTACAAAACCAATGGGCTAAACCACACTAAAAATATGCAAACAAGTCTTCAGATGGAATACATGTTTACTTCTATCTTTCCCCTCTAGTGTAGCATTCTATAAAGTGACCAGTCAACTTGGCAGGTTTATTGGCATCATCTCATAAAATATCTCATCTACGGCTTTGCTGAAAAAGAATTAAACAGTAGTAAGAATTCACCAGAGTGTCAAGACGCAGCAAATGTTTGTTTATTAATATAGAGAACTTCGATTTGCACAGAATGAATATAAAAAAAAAAATCACTTGTCGCGTGGCTTTCTTTTCAAGTGCTAATGGTCAGTTTCAGAGTCAGGGCTTCTTCATGCTTTAGACAAAGCCACCACAGTAAACCTCAGTTCATCTGGATCACGTTGCATAAACTTTTTGCAAACTTCAATAGCATCCTGAAGGGTAGAACAAAGACAGTAACAATATCAGAAAATACATTAAATATCAAGAGGAGTTAAACATACTGTACTGCAGGATTAGTCACTGCTGATAAAAATATACATCTGCGGTACATAAAATATCCACAGGAGTGCTTTCTCACTGCAGAGTTGAAACATCTGAGGAATAAACAAATTAAAAAGAAGCTTTTTCAGCTCATGGACAGATTGTTTCAATAAGGAGGATAGACTTTATAGGCTTGTCATTTCCTATAATTTGTGAACCTATGGTGCATGGCTGGCAAAGGTTTATCTGTTCTCTTTGCAAAGCCTAAGGTGACATTGCATGGATGAAGTAACTAAACACAAGAAAGCTCTAGCAATTCTGTAGTTACAGTTCTATCTCAAAACTTTGGTCTGTTGGAAGTTATTAAAAGGAATGTTATCGTATGGTTCCTGCTATTTTATATAGTGTTTTAAAAGGAATTAACATTTTCTTTTAACATGCATTAATAATTTAACCTCTTCAGTCCCAGCTGATCAGAAAATCACTTATAATTAAAGTTTTGTTATTCCCTTTCCCATGAGAAGCAACAACCGTTCCACTGCACATGCACCGAAATAAATGCTTTCCACACTGACATCTGTCAATCAGAATTTAGATAACGTGGCAAACAGATGTCTATGGGGATGCTAGACATCAGAGCAAATATTCTACTATGGAGGATACAAGAACATGAATTAGTCATGGAACAAGGTCGACACTCTATACACTACTCTACATATGTTATCTCCATTTTCTGCCTTTTGGTTTTTTCTATGTTGTGCTGTGACCTTCTTACTCTGGACGGAAACACTTACCCATTACTTCAGGCTTATTGAAGTTGTTAGACAAAGAATAAAAGAAAAAACAGAAATAAAAAAGGTAGAACGGTGTTCTTACTTCTAATAATGAATCCTCGCTGGTTGGTCCATGATTCACTGGAAAAAGCTTACTCCCATCTATAAAATAAAATAAGACAGCTGTTACTTCTTATTGTCTTGTTCCCTGCTTGCATAAGGTTGCCTATACCAGTGGATGGAAGACTACCATATTGTTAATTAAAATACTCCTAAAAGGGTTGGCATAGTAAATGACAATATCCTGTGTGGTAACCTGAAAGCTACCAGCATTACCCATTAGTGCAACGCAGGCACTTCTATCCTACTGTTTGCATTGCCTTAGGCGACTCTGTATCTGAAAGGGCACCATTATATCCTAAGCGGCAAGATGCAACATCTGTATTACCTTGAAGAGGTGAGAAATCTTGGAATGCAAGCATCAACCCCCAGCATACAAAAGAAAATGGAAAGGACGTCTCTATGTAGCTCCACTCTCAGGTTAAAGGGGAAACACAAAAAAACTTGTACAGATAGCTCTATCAAAACGCCATTGCCAAGTGGGAGGGGGACCTAGGGAGTACACTTGAATCCATGGAGCGGGCAGGGATGCATATTTAATGTGATAGTATTTAACCCCAAATAGGATTGCAAAGTACACACCCACTGCCCCCTCTTACTGTTCTGTTTCAGGGGCTCTGTCAACATTTAGTTGGAGTGTTCTAGAGCAAGGAACTGTGGATCAGAGTGTACAATCTCATCGATACCATCCCTAACTACACCCTAATAAGGAGTCCATGGGAAGCTCTTCTGAAGAGAAAAATGATGCATCATAAGAAGCTGGTCACATTCATCTTTATATCCACTAGGTAAACCTTAGCCAGATCATGGCAAAAACCTTTGCCAAATCAGAGGCTCACAAAAAACGCTAATCAGTGATAAGCTCACATTTTCACATTTCGAACCGACAATCAACTGACAAGCATCTTGGATTAAATACTTATGGTCTGATGGTTTTGAACAAATGATAATGCATCTAAAAATTAACAACTTCCGAAGCCCCAAACTGGCCTGTTTCTCTGTTCCCAACTCCTATCCACACACCTTCCCGCTTAGCCCTTTCCCAAGCTTTGTCTTTGAGCGAATTGTGGATATTTTTATTTCTATTTATTTATTTTATACCATACCCTCACCTGCACTACATATTGATTGCCCCCATACAAAGAATGCAGATTGTGAACTTCTCACCTTAATTATCATTGCCATCAACTTATTCTAAGGTTATAGACCCACAAACATTGACAAACCTCTCTTGGCCAGATGAAGGCATCTCAACTAGTCGTTACATACGCTTACGTCATATACTGTATTTATTATGGTTATGTGTTTTAATATGCATGCATGTCCTTTGGCACCTGAAATGTACAGGTCACTAGCCGCTTTATTATGTACACCTCTTCAACTGCTCGTTAACACAAATATCTAATCAGCCAATCAAATGGCAGTAACCCAATACATTTAGGCATGTAGACATGGTCAAGATGGTCTACTGAAGTTCAATCCGAGCATCAGAATGGGGAAGAAAGGTGATTTAAGTGACAATGAACATGGCATGGTTGTTGGTGCTAGACGGGCTGGTTTGAGTATTTCAGCAACTGCTGATCTACTGGGATTTTCATACACAACCATCTCTCGGGATTACAGAGAATAGTCTGAAAAAGACAAAATATCCAGTGAGCGGCAGCTCTCTGGGCAAGACTACCTTGTTGATGCCAGAGGAGAATGGCCAGACTGGTTCAAGCTGATAGAAAGGCAACAGTAACTCAAATAACCACTCATTACATCCGAGGTATGCAGAAGAGCATCTCTGAACACATAACACATTGAACCTTGAAGCAGATGGGCTACAGCCACAGAAAAACACACCGAGTGCCACTTCTGTCAGCTAAGAACAGTAAACTGAGGCTACAGTTTGCAAGGGCTCACCAAAATTGTAAAATAGATTGGAAAAACGTTGCCTGGTCTGATGAGACTCGAATTCTGTTGCGACATTGGGATGGTCGCGTCAGAATTTGATGTAAACAACACGAAAGCATGGATCCATCCTGGCTTGTATCAACAGTTCAGGCTGGTGGAGCTTCGCATCAAGGATGGGCAGCCGACAAATCTGCAGCAACTGTGTGATGCCCGAATGTCAGTATGGGCCAAACTCGCTAAGGAATGTTTCCTTCACCTTGCTGATTTCAATGCCACAAAGAATTAAAGCAGTTCTGAAGACAGAAGGGGTCCAACCCAGTACTAGTAAGCTGTACCTAATAAAGTGACCAGTGAGTGTATATTCTACATCTGTTTACTCTACCCTCCCTTCTTTGGAAACAAAAAAGAAAAAAAAGAAACCAACAAACAAAAATTAGTTCCGTATTACAACTTCATGTTTTGTGAACGTGTGTATGCGTTTTTCCCCACATTTGCCACGTTACCATTGATTTTAATGGGTGCCGCACGTGTGTCAAACGTGAGAAAGTAGCTCATATAGCATTGCACCACAAGCGTATTGCACGTTTTTGACACGTTCTGTGATAGCATGTCAATGCGCGCATTCACAGAACGCGAAGGTGTAAACAGTACAAAATTGAAGTGAAATAGTTTGATACATAAGTGTAATCATAGCAGATTACATTGTATTCTGTGTATTCTGTGTACATTACAACTTTTCACTTTTGAATTTCCGGCCGGCTGTGACGCTCGAAAACGAAAACTAAAAGTCAGATGCCGGCTTTTAGTTTCATTTTCGGGCCGCGTACAGCAGAGGACGCCGCGGGCTCGCAGGGACAAGGTAAGTGTCACTTTTCTCTGCAGCCCCGAGTCTGGCTCGGGGTGTACCGCTCCTAGCATTGAAAATTCACCCCGAGCCAGAATCGGGATTACCGCCAGGGAGGTTAATATGTGCAGTCACATCATTCAATTTCTAAGAAGGTAAATTAATTCACACAGACTTCAGCAATATAAGATTATGAGAATCCACTTTATACAAATTAAAGATTAGCTATACGTGAAAAATCAGGGCATCTATTGAACCTTTTAGTACTTATATTGTACCAGAAATCACAATTTAAAAGTAAGAAAAGTAAACCAATGACCCTTTCTATTTTTTTTTTTTTCCAAATTCTTTATTTAGAGACAAAAAGGGAGGGGTACAGCGAAAAAGGATGTGGAGGCCACATGTTCTCACACAATACATAAGTAGCAGACATTAAAGCATATAATATATACATGCAAACAAATTGTAAAGTTAGGTCTGGCTCTCGTTCACGGCCCCGCCCCTAATATGGTTAACAGGAAAACAACATAACAATAGAAAAAGAACAGTATGGCAAGGTGAATTGTCGGGCATGGCCCAGCGATTTAGAGGCCAGCACCGAGCATGTTCACCTCTCAACAACACATACAGGACAGACAAGCACAAACATTAACGTACGAAAGAGAAGTACAAAGATTAAGAGCGAAAGTACGGAAAGGGATCCCACACCCCAGTGGTCCCAGAGTGTCCCATCCCCAATGCACATAAACCAGATGGGGAGCATGTAGTACAGCAGGTTATCACCACAGTCTCCAACTTCCTCCCGGCATACAGCTGAGAAAGCAGCCGAGCACCTGAACTGGACCCAAGCTCCCCAAGTAGTCACAAACCCAGATTGTGATCCCTGTAAACAGGAGGTTAAATCCTCCATCAGTCTAATCTCCTCCACTCACCTCAACCACATATCCACAGATGGAGTGTGTTTGTCTCCACAGAGCTGGTATGCAAGAACTTGCTGCATTCAACAAGTGAATCAGCAGCGAGCGTCTATATGTCTTTCAAGAGAGCGGCGCCAGGTGAAGAAGATAGACCGATGGGGTGAATGGCAGCACGTGTCCCGTGATTTCTGCTATTACAGTGGCAATGCGGACCCAGAACGGTTGAACTTTCGGGCATTCCCAAAAAATATGCAATAGGGAGCCCACTTCCATTTCACAGTGCCAAGACAACTGAGACACCGATGGGTACATGGCGTGAAGGGTCGTGGGCACCCTGTACCATCTGGTCAGGAGTTTATAGCCCGCTTCCTGGTATTTTTTGGAGATGGAGGATTTAAGGGCAAAGTAAAGCATACGGTCCACCTGTGAAGGGCTGAAGGTCAGATCCAAATCCGAGGCCCATTGTCCAATGAAATACAAGGGGGTAGGTCAGGGACCCTTTCTATTTTTATTCCTTATAGGTTCTTCTTTACCTAAACCTGACTTCACTCTAAAAAGAGGGTCATAGGTAAAAAACTGTTAGAAAAAGTAAATATTTTTACGTTTTTTATTTTCTGGCCTGATTTCAATGGTTTTAAAACAGGTAAAACTTTATGGTTAATTTAGTTTAAATCAGTTGAAGTGAAGTGTTTCTTTTGCAATTCATGTGGAAACACAATGTCAGTGTCTTGAATAATGTTGACACTATCCAATTTCTTTTTTTGCTCCTGATTTAATGATTGCATTTTGGCTGAGCCACCTGTGCGGAAACAATGAGGTCCTTAAAAACTGGGCAAGGTCTTATTTGAACACAAATGGCTCTTTTATAAAAAGGTAACCATAAGTCCTCTCAATGAAAAAAGTAATCCATTCAATATGCAGCTAGACATATACAGACTGAAAAACTGCTCTGTTCTTAAAACTTAAAAAGACCGTAGTAAAAAAAAATATATATAGGAGATATTGTATGTATTTTTGTACTCTATTTAAAATCCTTTTCTTTGAAGTTCATTGAAGGACACAGGATTCAGAGACAGGTGGGTTATATTGCTGCCTTGTATAACCCATCCCACTCCCAGTATCCCTTCATTTTGTAACAGTGCTGAAAGCAAGACCAGAAATAGTGTCCCTCAATGAACTCCCAAGAAAATAATTTTACTGCTGGTAAAAAAATAATGTTCTTCTTTTTCATTGAGGGATATAGGAGTGAGAGACAATAGAGACTCAAGAAGCACTCACGGATCTAGTAGAGTGTGGTGGATCTGTTAGAGCACCTTGGCACTCCAGCTGTTTTGGAACTACAAGTCTCATGAGGCATTGCAAGGCTCCGACAGCCACAGACATAACTCCCAGAGCAGATGCATGTTGGGATTTGTAGTTTTGGCACAGCTGGAGTGCCAAGGTTCGCCACCACTGTATTAGAGTATGCTTGAAGGATTTATCTGAGCCACCTCGAAATGGTGGAACAATTATGGGTGACAAAGAGGGACTTAAGCCAAGTTCACACTTGTGCATATGCGTATTCCATGCTTTTTTGATGCCTTTTTTTTAGGCATTTTCTTCATTCAAGCTTCCTACTTCCCGTTTGCCTGTGTAGTTGTGCTCAACTTTTCTGTTATGGCCACTATGCCAAACGTGTTTGATAGCAGTCACAGCTACAGCAATTTTGATGGAAGAAGTGGGAAAAATAAAGTGGAGGTACTTGGTCCATTCAGTGATTGAAAAAAGAGGAGAGAAGCCTATACACGCTAAACAACACATGTACATGTTTCTGATACAACTCCATTAAAGTATATGAACAGACGAAAAAAAGATTGGCTGAAAAACAATTGCATAGATGTGCATACCTAAAGATGGGGTTCCTCTTGTTGGGGGAAGAACAGCTGGACTTCAAACTGCATTAAATCACCTCATACGGTGTCCAGCCGCCCTCGCTCTAGGTAGAAGCGGGAATATGGGCAGCTCTATCTACAGCAAGGACGGCTGGATGCCGTAACAGGTGATTTAATGCAGTTTGAAGTCCAGCCATCCTTCTCCCCCATCTCTCCTAACAAACTATGTACCTCCGTATGAGCACTGCCAGTTTGAAAATGTGCAGAAGCTTGAGCTTTGCAGCTGTGATCGAGTGAACTTATCCTTTAAGAGGGAACACTGCAGGCCGCTCCAAAACAGTTTGTAAATCATGAGCCAGAGGCACCCGACACAGTGGAATTGCTGCTCTTGTGTTTGGGACACAGCACCACAAACAGGGACAACTTAGTTGTAAAACAAGTGAAAACCTTAAGTATTCATAAACCAACTGCTGGAAGCGGAGGTTCAAAAGGCAGGAGGTGACCAGGTCACGGTAGATGACAGCAGAGACTAAAGAAGGTGTGGAACTGCATTGTCTCTTGCAATTAACAGTGCTACCTCACGGTGATTGACAGGAAAAGAGTGCCTGATGTGTGCGTGCACTATATTCCTTCAGTGGTGCAGCACTAAATTTCTCAGTGTTTCAACCCTTGCCATGGAAAAAAAAGGAATAATTATGGCGCCCAACGTGTCTAATAAACAAAGTAACACCTGGTGCTCGGCCCACTCTGCCTACTAATTAAAGAGTCTTCAGAGATTGTGTCAAACCAGAGGCTGTGCCATGGCTCTGGACCTGGAAAGTGCTCTGTGGCTAAAACAGTACATAGAGGTCTAGAAAGTGCCATAATAAGGCCCCAGTGTTCAAAGGTCACATTCCAGGAAGGCCCTGCAATCATCCAGTCCAAGTAGAGCCTCCAGAGCTTAAAGATGAATAAAGAAACAAGCTCAAGCAGCTTGTAGATAAAGTCTTGGAAAAAAAAAATGGAGGAAAGAAAAAATGGCTAATAAAAAAATCAGTTAAACTTTACTCAATGGGGAAAACATATCCATCCCCTTAGGATGCTAGCAACAAACTAAGGCATGCTGGAAGTTGGAGCAGTATCACCAGTGTGGTCACTTTTTTATTTAACAGTGTGTGAATCCTCCTGTAAGTGGCAATACAACAAAATTGTCTTCTAATCCTGTCCCCCTCAAAAAGGAATATATAAACAAATATACAGTATATACATACACACATACATATACACATACACGTCAACCTCCTAGTGTCTTCTCTTTACACCACAACACAGTTAGGCATTAGCAAAATGACATACAACACACATAGAACTAAAACAGAAATAAATAAAATTACCTAGCTCATACAGATGTCCTTGTACATGAACAAAAGCAATGAAGTGTAAGTCTACTTTATCATCTAAACTTGGTGCCTGTGGGAAAAACAAATAATTATGATTATATGTAAAAAGCAGAGTTTTTAATAAAGCACATACACCAGTTATTTTTCAAGGAATAACACCAGGAGGAAGAAGCGTAATTACACCGAAGGCTGCGGTCTCATTTACCATCACACAAATATGAATACGATTCTTAATTTATGTTTATTTTCTCAAATGTAATACTAGAGTTTTTCTTAAATGGGCAGAATCACAATGACTTGGCATGAACAGGAATAAATAAACATTTCAATTTAAAAGTTCTTATACTAGGGCTGCAACAAATTATGATTATTTTTTCGTATTTAAAAAAAAAAACTAAAATACCATCCTTAATTTAAAATGAAATACACAAATGCAGTGTTACAAAGTTTACTTCGGAATAAAACTGCATGCACAATATTTTGCTATCGCACTGCACTGGAACGCTAGGCATTGTGGTACCGTGCGTTCCAGTGCGGGTGATCACACTGTGGGTGGGAGATGCATTTGGGACGCCATTGAAATAAGTGGCACTGCAACTCACATCCGTCAGAAGAATTTGTCAGGCCGAAACTGGGAATTACTTTTTTCCCCACCTTTTATAATTTAAAAAAAAATTATTGTTGTTAGGTAAACAGATGGCGCTTGAATAGCTTCAGCCAGGGAATGACAGCTGCCAGTGGCAAGATTCTGCATTCGGCAGCTGAATGTAAATACAGCAGGTAGTGGGCTGGTGCAATAGCCAGCCTGCTATTGGCCATTTCAAATTGCAATAGCCAATAGCAGGCTGGCTATTGCACCCACCCACTGCTTGCTGTGCCCTCCTCCCAGCGTGGAGGAGGGAGCTTGGGGATCCAACCAACTAATCGATGAGGATAGTTGACAACTATTCTCATTATTGAATATACGATTAGTTGATTGCAGCACTAGCTTATACATACTCGCCAGTTATCTGTGAGATGAGAGTATGTACAGTTATTTAGCAAGATTTCTCCATGATCCTAAAAGTCCAGAGAGACATTTTGGACACACATGTATAGAATAAATCTGTTAGACATCAAGCAACTCAGCTTGAGTTCATGGAGATAATGGATACATAGCTAAGTTGCTAGGCATATACTGTATGCAGTAGCTACAGAAACTTCAGTGTATTACAGCATCTTTCAGGTCCCTGTGACAAGACTGCCATTCCCTCAATCAGCGAACGCTTAGTATTCCATTGAAGAGAATACTAGGAATACTCTGAATGCCCACTATACCCAGCGTGTGGCTCAGCATAGTGGCTGTAGTAGGGATCAGCAAGATGCTTAGTAGTTGCCAAGATGTCGCTGGCATCGAAGTAACCAGTAACACAAAGTGGGGAGAGAGCAGGGAGAGTGAGTTAGCACTTTCTACCATGAGGACCCGCTGCCTGTCTTCTCAACTAAGCCTCCGCCTCCCGAGTGTCAGCGTGCTTGCTCCGGCCCCATACACAGGTGTGCACGTTTTGAGACAGCATGGCCAGACCAGACTCAGCTGAGTGCAGGCTGCAATAATTGTCAACACCCCTGAAGAAGAATCGAGATGGGAGCAGGGCTGCAGGTGGCCGTTTTCTGGGTGTTGGGAAGTTTATCTCGGATGTGCTGACTATAGAAATCTGCAATGCTGCTAATAGAATAAAAGATAAGGAGTATGTTTATTTGGCATTAGGTCAAATTTCTCCTTTAAGTGTGGCAAACGGGTTTAATAACACTTTCTGTTTTAATATTTTTAATGAATATTTTGTTAAAAGGCATAACAAGAATCACATATTGACATGGACAGATATTCCATGGAACAATAATGCAAAACACTAGCAAAGTATCTTAGGAAAGAGACAAATCAACTAAAAAAGGACAATGAGGAAAGCTACAGGTCAAGAACGTGTCAAAGTATTCCGCATGTATAGAATGTGATAACAAAGACAGGGTTCTTAGCCCTCGTTCACGCCTGAACGTTTTGTAGCGCGTTCTACGCTCGATGAACGCTCAAAAATATAAATCCCATTGTATTCAATGGTCTCGTTCCCACCTTGACGTATGGCCCGTCCCTAACGCGCTACAAAACGGCCCACGCCTGAAAAGGTACAGGTACTACTTTGGGCCGTTTTGTTGCGCGTTTCCATTGGGATACAGCCAAGTAGCCTTCGGAAATGCGCGTTTGTAGCGCGACTTTTTTACCGCGAATCGCTGTAAAAAAAGACACGCATATGCAATAGGCCTAGGTGTGAACAAGACCTTATTCAAAGTTGCTGTACCTTCAAAGTTAAACAGAGACATCTTAATTTAAAACAAAAAGAAAAAAAAAAAAAGGACAAGAAAGAAAAGTAAGGAAAATGGCTCAAACTAAGTGTCGTCTCCGGCCGGGGCACTCGCACTTTAATCGAATTCTTTACTGCTATGTCAGAAATCTGCAAGTTAATTAATTCACTACCTTCTGCCTCCGGTGCTAGTGTTCCTGGCTCAGTTTCCAAAAGCCTGGGAACTTTAGATGTTACTGACCACTAAAATATGTTTACACTCTTGTATTTTCCACAATATAAACTAGATTGGAAAGACAAAATGGAGTGTGGGGCTCATAGTAAAGGCTGCATTAAAGTGGATCTGAACTATAAAAAAAAAAATGAAGATTTGCAGTCTTATAGGGAACATCAAGAACCGTTTAGCAGTACCCAAAAAATACACCTGAAACTAGCAATGCATTTCCTGTGTCTAGCCAGTGCCTTGAGCCTCATGGCTGTATATCTGCAAGATGAGATCATCCAAGGCACTGCTGCCTCTGACTCCAAGATTCCATGAATTCACTACTCTGCTTCTCAGAGTTTTCCTTGCTGGAGAGAAAGCTGTACCTGAGGATCTCTGCAGGTTAAGGATCTCCTTGTGCTTTCTCAATTACTCCTGCTGCTTCTTAAATATTACCCCACCAGTCATCAGTGAGGCAGCTCTGACAGGAGAAATAAAAGCCCTACCTCTACCAAGATAGACACCCCCATAGATCACAGAACAAGGCATAATAAGTCAGCAATGAGGAAAAGAGGAGCTGTAGGAGCCTACAGGCTATAATAGGGACTAGTCCTTTGCCCTCTGCTTGCTTTCTTGGGCATAGCTACACAGTTTTTTCCTCTTTACTGTGTAAGCCTAGCACCTCAACTGGAGAAATCTCTCAGAGAGGAATTTTAAAAAATAGGCAGTTTAACCAGTTGCTGTCCGGGGCAGTTTCTTAATATTTGCGCACACAAGATAAAATCTGAATTTTTGGCTATACAACAGCTTAACTCGCCCCCACCCCCCAAAATGTGATATTTTCTAAAAGCAGAGGCCCTGTAGAATCAAAAAAATGCTAGCTGCAATATTTATGTTGCATGGTATTTGCGCAAAGGTTTATCAAAACTAGTATTTGTAGGATAAAATGCACTTAAAATCAAATTTAGTGCACTGAAACAGAATATAATACCCGATTTTCTGATAAAATATAAAAGATGGGATCACGTCAGGTAAATAGATACCAAACATGTCGAGCCTTAAAATTGCGTTCGCACTTAAAACCGCAAAAAAACACAATACCCAAAATATCCCATAGGCGACACTTTATAAGCTTTTACTGCTCATCAGTTTAGTGTTACCAGTGATTGATGGCACTAGAATTGCTCACTCAGTCACGACAATATGCAACACGTGTGGTGCAATTTTCATTTTTGCACATTGGCGCACCCGACACGTGTTTGCGTTCTATGTGCGTGCATGTGGGGGGCGGGGGACTTTTTGTTGCATTTTTTTATGTTACTTTCATTTTTTTATGTTACACTCAATGTTATTGCCATCACATTGGGGGCTAACAAGCCCCCTATGTAATAGCAAATATAATGTGACAGGTCCTCTTCATGGAGACCCCTAATGTCACCTAGGGACCCCAAAGAAGCTGAGCAAGCAGAGATCTGCTTCACCAGCCTCTTCTCATGGCTACAAGAGCTGGAGAATGTAAACAGTGACACCGGAATTGATGTCATACACATCACTTCTGGGTCCAGTGATCGCAGGAGAGGTCGGCTGCTAGGAGCTTGCTAATCTTCCGATCGGTCAGGGGAGACCTGCTGTGCCAGTCCCGGACCTGCAAGGAACCCGGGGTTGGCGGTGGTGAAAGGGAGCACATTCTGCCACATTGTACAAGCGATCCGGCGGCTGTGTAGCTGCCGGATCGCTGGTATCTGAACAACAATTGCCCGCTGTTTAAAACGATACCAAGAACACGTCTACAGCAGCTACTACTTCAGGACATGATTTTTTTTTTTTTAACGGCGGCCGGTCGTGAAGTAGTTAATCCTCCAACAAATACCAAAAAGTAAGAGTCTTTTTTGGGTGGAAAAGCCCATTCAATGTGCAACAAATATTTGTTATTAAATGTAGCTTTGCTTTTCTGACAAATATCATGTTGTAGAAATAATGTAAAAAATAATGCATAACGATAAAAAAAACACAAATGACCAAACAAGGTCTCCACATTAATATGCGTACTGTATGTCCTAAGCCAACATGTATGTGGCATGCACTCCACCATCCTTGCCTTCCCAATTATTAATGGTTTAAAAGGAAATAGGTTACAAGGAGCAGTGTCACAAATGTACATATAGTATCAAATATTTCAGGATAAAAAAAATTATAGCCCTCATCCTGTAAATGCAAAAACTGGGAGGAGAAATGGCAGAATTTGTATTTAATAAAGGACATGCTTAAAACAAACCTGAAACCTCGAAAGGCTTTCCAACTTCAAAGTGTATATATGAAAGCAGCCCTCATTCACACATGCTACATATGCATTCTTCTGTCCACCTTTTTCTTTTTAGAAATCATTAAGGAGACAGCCAAGAACCTTCGAGACAGTATCAGGAAACATAACAATTACACCTAATTTACAAAGTAAACAGTGAATGAACATGTGATAGCTTGTGTGTGTCTCCTGTGTAAAATTAGAAGTCTTACATCTGGGTACATAGAAAA